TATTAGGAGACGGGAATGGAATCGTCCACTAAGCAGTGTTAGGGTCACAAAGGCAACACCCACTGGATGCGCTGTCAGGGATGGGGTAGGGAATAGAGATGAAAAGACTCATTAGAAACAGCCTAATATTAGCACCAGGGACTGAAATGGAGCAACTTATATTCGACGCACATATGACTACGTCAAAGGAACCCCACTATTATGTATAAAGATAATGCACTAATAAAAACAATTTTAAAAATAGCTAGCTTGAAACTGCCCCTTCTGGGAGAATCAGCAAATACTGGGGACACTGAGAAGGAATAGGCTGGATGAAAAGGGTGGGTGAAGCATCCCTTCACTGAAATGTACCACTAAAGGCCCAGATGAAGCAGTACACTTTGGGATAGACCACTGGGGAAGGGAGCCTTGTATTTTAAAATAAACCATTCTGCGTCATGTGCAATGGGCTTCTCACCAAGCAGGAACCTTAACACATCCAGTCAGGGTGAGGCCTCTGAAGACTCTCAGGTCACTGTCATTCCATTTATGGCCCCAGCTACTTGGCTCTACAGATCCAACCCTAGTGCATCCAAGAAAAAAGGCGAAGAGTTAAGTGAATGGTTCTGGGGTGGAGCAGCAGGGCAGAAATTAAGGATGACACTAAAGTCTGTTTGGTTTAGATGTGATTGCTCATTCAGGACCTTCCAGGTTACAGAGCATGCACGGTCTGGGTGTCAGGGGTGTTATCTTAGTTTGGAAGCTTACAGGCCCAAAGGTGGGGCTTCAAATAGCGGGTGGAGAGTTCAGGATCCTACCCTGGAACCTCAGTCAACTCACCAGTCCAAAAGGCAGAAGGTATTACCAGGTCAGTAAGATCACTGGCTCGTTAAAAAACGCCTAATTGATCCCATTATATTGATCTGAAAGCCCACTATCAGTTTATAGACACACAAAGAAAACCATTCACAGTCAGAAATATGTTCCCCAGAATACCCACGGGTGCAGTTCAAAGAGGATTGGGTTCCTCCAGAACCAGTCCTGATTCCTCCAGGGAGATGGCAACCTGATCCATAAAAAGAAGTAAATGCTTAAATGATGTGTTTTTAGGCATTAGGCAGCAGAGATGTTGAGAGCATCTTGGTAATTAGGGCTTAGGTGGATTCTTAAGGAAACGAATTTATCACCAGGCATCAATTAAGCCCTGACTTTGTTCAAACATCTCCAGAAACGCTTCAGGAATGAGACTGAGTCCTCAGGGAGTGGAGATCCACCAGGGGATCAGAGATGAGCCAGTGTGTGTGTGTCTCCCAAGAAGATGAGGCCCACCCGGAAGGCCACATCAGCCTCACACACAAAACAGCACAGCCTCCCAGCTGTGACTGCCCATGAACCAACAGCCCTACCCCACGGTTGCTAGGTGTATGTGTGGAAAGATATCTGTACTATGTCAAATTACACCAAGCTATGTGTAAGTACAGAGACCCTCACACTCCAATCCCTTTATACCTGATTTATGAATTGGAAGGGGACAAGCATACTCAGAGGAAAACAGAAAGGACTAGGAGTGAGGAGCTGATGAGGGGGTAGGGTCAGAGGGACAGTAGCACCCCTCCATATTGGTGTATGGTCGGTGCCATATAGCCCTGGCACTCTGCGGCAAACACTTTCACCATGTGCCCCTTTCATCTTGGGTCATTCATGCTCAAAGGATCTGCAGATGGCCATCTGTTCAGGGTTGAGGAGGGCAGAGGAAATCAGGGGGCTCCTGGATCCACATGCTCAAGAGTCAGAAAGACACCATTCAGGGTGAACAGGATGCTGGGCAGGAAGTCCATTGTTGAGCTGGAGGCGGGTTCCAGAAGCATCAGCTCTGCTATGACCACTAGAAGACCATTGTGGTTCACAGGGACACACTAGGCCTCTTCTTACCCAAAGAGTGATACTGTGGCATAAGGGCATCTCAGGCCTGAGGGCAGTGAGGGTTCATTTCCAGGATGGCACAAGACATCTTAACCTAGAACATATCCCCAATTTGGTAGGCACAGGACTCCAGGGTGCATCAGGCCTCGGTATATGTGAATCACTACCCAGAATCAGCCTCTGAGGGCAGAACCTGGGTCTTCATCCCCTGGAAAAGGATACTCAGGTGCTTGGACCAGGGTCCAGACGTAGGGGTTCATTCTCATTCTCCTCTATTTCTCTCTCTCGGTAGTAGCGATTTAACTCAAGGACACTCAACCACTAATCCACAGAATCTGCCCAATTTTTGTATTTTATTTACACAGAGGGCTGAACTGAGTTGCTTAGTGTCTTGATAAATTGCTGAGGCTGGCTTTGGACTCACAAGCTTCTTGTCTCTGCCTCCCAAACACCCGGTATTAGAGGCATGTATCACCATGCCTGGCCCTCCTTACTCTTTCATCCCACCCCCGTGTCTCACTCAGGAGACTGGGAGAAACATGGCTGTGGCCCTATCTAGCATGTATCCTGGAAGGAGTGTCATTGTGGGTGTCACTAAGGCCATCCATCACATCACTGAGTTGTTTCAATGTCTGTGTCCAAAATGAGAGGTCCCTGACCCATTACAGGTTGTCAGTTGTCTGACTAGTTTCAGGATGTCCACCCAGGATGTGAGGTCTGTTGAGCCCTGAGGGGCTTGTGTCCAGAGTGAAGGATCTCAGGGTTCTTTATGAATGTG